TATATACCCTCATTGTCACTCAGAGGTATCGCCTTCCGGACAGTGAGAACTTCCACTTCAATTGGAGGCACGTATTCAAGTGGACCCATTAGCATCCACTCCTCACCTGCCACGCGATTCTATTTAAATTAGAGGTATGCAATTAGAATTAGAAACAGCTAAATAGATTTAATAAGGAAGGAAACTACCTTATCGCCATCTACAAATGATTCTTGAGCTCGAAGAATAATACCTTCTTCTTCACCCAAAACGTAAACATTTTCAATGCCCCCAAGAAGGCTCTCACCAGGAAGTAGGAAAAATGACTTTTCTCCACGAACAAGCATTTTTTTGCCGATACGCGGAACACCGTTTTCATCCACTGGATCACACACGACACAATAGTTTGAGGACGACAGAATAATGGGTGAGGTGACCTCTACAACCTCTTCATTGACACTTGGAATGTGGCTTTCGGTATCCAAGTGCGTGATGAGCCATTCTTCACCATGTCGCCGACGCTTTCCGAAGTCGTCTGTGTGAGTCCTTAATGCGCGGACATGCAGAGCATGCTAAAGGACATCAAAGATATAAGCAGGGGTCCCGTTTTCATTAAATGTAACATCAAATTAGACCACCAAGTTTCTAAGCGTTCCCTCGTCATTTAAATTAAATGCAGTAATCGATTCATACAACATCCTGAAATCTATTTCGTGCAATTTCTACACATCAAACAATGCATTCTAATTTCGCAAAAAAATATTTGCATATGAAATTCACGGATTGGTTTTCAACAACATATATTACGCACCTTCTCATCCAGATGGTAAGCAGTGACTGTCTTTACACACTCTTCATAAGCTCCAAGCATATAGGCACCAGGTTCTTTTACAAGCCACTGTTCTCCATATACACGTTTTTTCCCATCCTTACTGGTGAAGTCCATTAAGGCACGAAGTAAGAGTGCAGAATTGGGACTTATCATTAGCGAACTCCGACTTGAGAGAACTTCCACTTCTTTTCGGGGTTTGTACACGCCTTAAGCAAGCAAAAATACGATAGCGGAAGTTCAAAAGATAAACGATTCCTCAATTTATGAAGTCTTTCACTTACCAGGTCCTTCAAAAAGCCAATTCTCTCCGGGAACCCTTTCCACACCGTCTTCATCCTTAAAACCAACGATAGCAGATAGAAGAAGGGCCTTGTTTGGAGGCAGAACAGTCAGTGTTGTCACATCTTTTTTTAGTTCTTCACCAGGGTACAGTGGGAAAGGAGGTTGAGCAAAACGGTATTCTTCTTCACCATAATCAAGCATAACCTGTCCATGCACCTCAATAATCTGCCCTTGTTCGTCTCTTTTCACAGGGTGTGAAATGATGCAGTACTCCTTAAGAGTTACTGTAATCATCTTCTTTGGCTCTAAGACGATGCTATTAAATAAAATAAGCTTTAAAGGACCAAAACTCATACCTCTCATGATCTTTCCTAATGAAAGTCGCGGGTCCCGTAACAAGTCTAGTTGTGTTGGTATTCCTGTCGAGAACATGGATGTAGTGAAAAGGTGGGATAGGCACCACAACACTTTGAGCTTGTTCAGAGGAATGCATGGTGTAAAGACACAAGGATGTAAGAAGTAAATCAGACAACCTATTTATAAGGTGCGCTTGGCCAATTGACTTGGACCGATTTGACCTAGAAATCTAGACAAAAGCTTTTGTTAAAATAATGAATTAAAATGAATAGAAACAGCTCTAGTTTTATCATTAATATTTGTTACGTTACATTTAAAAGGTTATACTTAACCACTGGATATAATTTTATTTGATAAAAATGCGTGAATTAACTTCGCAATTAAAAAAGGCGAATTAGTTCACTTATATTTATTAAAACCAAGAAACAAAAAATTGGTTTTATAAGACTTGCTAAGAACGGCAGAATGACAAGTTATTGCTACACAGCAGAGTAAATAAAGTGACAAATGAACACGCGCAATCTATAACCGTTCGTTCTAAATATTTACTATAAATCAAAATCTCAACCTTAGATTTATTGCCCTCTTATACATTTAATTAGGAATCCTAGGAGTTTAAAATGTCTATATGGACACTGCGTTGTTGTAACTTAACAGTTTTTACACATATTTTTTGAATTTACTTATTGTAACAGACAAGACAACCAAGGTCGTGTCTTCGTGATGTTCGTCGCTTAATTTTTTGTACGCGGAGCTTTAAAAAGTTAATTAAAGTGTTTTGGAGTATATTTAGAATATATCATTATCCATATAAAGTATAAGACTGATTGGCAACGATGTAACATGTTGTAAAATCGAAAATGCAGATTTTTTAGTTCATCCTGATTTGGAAACTATTTATTTAGTTTCAGAATGGCCACAGCATCAAGAGTTTTAATGTCTAAAGAATTATTGTATTCACATAGAAATGCTTGTATAGATTTCTAAAAAGCAGTACTATGCCCTCTATTTCGTGTTCAAACGTGAGTTCTATTTAACAGAACACATGCCTTATTGAAATTTTAACAGTTTCCCTTAAACTACCTGCACCCTTCACGAAGTTTGTGTTTCTTATTCGTTCATGCCAGTGGATGAGTGGTAATGTTTTATAAATACTATTTAAGCATATAATGTGAGAGTAATTTTTGTATTCACTGCATGAACCATTCTGAATGATTTATAACTTAAAACGAATAATCGGATGTTAATCTGCCTCAGTACTATCAATTAATAGCTTTAATCAAAGTTTGCGCGACATTTTTGTGTTTCGTTGTCGTTTTGGGGCATATTGGATCGTATTACTTGCCTGAAACGATTAAGAAACATAGTACATTCAGAACATGAGAAAGAGGCCCAATATATTCCTGAGTCACATAAAAATACTTGTCGTTAAATTATTCCCAAATAGCTCATCTTCAGATTGATATTTTTACGAAGAATCGTTAATCTAAATCACATTTTGTTTTTTTATTAATTCAATATAATGTCGAAACATCTAAAAATGCTTTGATTTCGTCCTTCTCTGTTTGTGCTTTGATCTGAGGTTATGTGAAAATTGTACCACTGCTTTCTGACCAAAATCGAGACAGAAATTAACAAAAGCAACAAATCACAGATTAGAGTATGCATGTTGGGCTCAATGAAAGTTTTGGATTGAAATTACTAAAGTAATCAAAACTTCGAATAAAATATACAAAAATTAAATTCTGGGCCTGGAACTGGATTAATAGTTACTGAAACTCCGCCTACCTGAACAGGAATCTTACACGAACGCAACAAACAGAGCCCTCCGATTTCCAGCAGCGTATCAATTTTACTTACATATAGTCTGTTTGAAGCTGTCTGCAGAAAGTCAACTCGATCCATTTACAATTTGGAGCTTTTCTAAACAAAGTTCGTGGAATTATATAGTTCGATACTTAATTATTTTGCACAAAAGCATCGATTTGAAGTGTGCATGGTGTAGCAACATATAAGGTCGCATAAATATTTGACCACGCCGACCACAGCCCATCTGTGTGTTCGAATGGCCTGTGAGGAAGTTGTGCAACCAACTATAGACAGACATTTATGAGAAACGGTATGTAAAAAGCAACGCAGCCAGCGTAGTGGACTCAGATGGATGGCACCTGACGTGTGATTCTGTCTTGCGATTGATCAACAAAGTCTGATCTGTTTTACTAATATTCTTCATAGAAGGGCTCGGGTATTCTACAATGGACAATGGTGCGTTGGCGTGGACGCAGCCATGTTTGGTCATGCCTTGAGTCAGCCTATCCTCTGATTTTGTGTTTTTATTTGGCCTATGAGGAATATTAGCAGTTAATCAGAAACATGGACAAGAGTGGAATATGTATTGTAGGATATGTGATACCTATACAGGAAGTCACTATTGGTAAATGGACCCAGATGAATGCCATTTGAATTCGCTTTACTTCGTATCAATCAAATATTTCGATTTTTTGTATAAGAGCGCTTGTTTGAGCTATGCAATCACGTGTATAGGGGCGCAGACATATTGGACCACCCTGGAATCAGCCAATCCTGTGTCTCTCTGCATTCTAATGGCATGCGAGGAAGATAAGCAGCCAACTAGAGAAGGACACGAATGAGGATCAGCATATAATGAGCGGCGTAGCCAGCGTGGAGGACACGGATGGACGGCGCCTGACGTGCGGCTCTGGCTTTTGATTGGTCAATAAAGCCTGTTCTCTTGTGATAGTCTCCTTCATACTAGGGCTCGGATATTTTACAGTCGTGACGTGCTAGGACGCAGATAACTTGGATCACAACAAGTTCAATGAATCCCATGTCTTTGTGAGTTTGAATGGCCTACGTTGAAGGTCAGAAGACAACCAGAGACATGGTTAGATAAGAGGAACAAGATAATGGACAACTCAGCAAGTATTACAACCTCGTATGGGTGGTTCTGTGTAATGTTGGTCGATAGAGCTTGCCTTGTTATAGTTATCCTCTTTCCACTAAGTGTCGGGTATTCTGCACACAGTCCAGTGCCACCACGGGGCGCAGCCATATTGGAACACGCTGTGAGTTCGACCAGTATGGTGCCTTTTGTGTTTAAATGCCTGATGAGGAAGATTGGCACTTAACTAGCGAAATAAACAGATAACAAGCACGTGTTTCAGGGTGCCCAAACAGTGTGTATTGAAAAACCAGAACCGCTCGTTAGGCGCCAGTTATCCGAGTATGCTCTCTACTGTCTAAAGCACTCACTGTGTAGTGCATCTCATCTATTCTCGCCTCGAGTTGACCGCTGATTTTCCATGTGGGCCATTTAAACTCACAGATAGATAGGGTCCAATTTGTTTTCGCCCTAGTACGCGAGTGCATTTATCAGTTACAAACCGGGGACACGGGGAGATGACAAGCACTTTTATAGCATACGTCGCAGTCGGTATAAAGAACTCAGATGAATGCCAAGTGACGGATAGTTCTGGCTAGTGGAATGTCAAAAAACCTGCCCTGGTGTCACTTTCTTCACCTTACTATGGCTTGGGAATCCCACAACATGGTTGTACTTCGGATTCCCCACTTTTCACAAAGTCGATTTTTACTTCTGACATGCATTTCAATGTCTATATTTAGTGGTTCTAAAAATAAAATTGACCTATGTCTCCACATCTAAAAAACTGCCTGGTAGCCTTTAGATGACCACGTATTCAATTGAAAAGTGCATAATAAAACTGTTTTCGTTGGGTGCTTGGCTTTCATTAAAAAGGTTTATCATATATACATCTCTTGGTAAAGGATATCGTTAAGACCTGTTTTCTCAAATCGGCCGTAGAGCGATTAAAACTTCCTCTATTTTCTTTGAATTGTAAAATATGCGTCAAACTGGTGTGCATTTACACACACATTTATTTCCTTTCATGCTATTTCCTACCAATTAATCGCTCCGGGTTCATGACTCACATGCAGCAGCGTTGATACTTCTAGTCTTTTGGTACTAGATGCCAAAGGCAGAACTTTCGTAAAATGGTTTCAGTTAACGCAGTCTATGTGTTTAACTACCTCCTAGAATAAATGTCAGTTTCTGCAATAACGAATAAACTAGTCACAATAAATTGAATAAAAACGACAACCCGAAAAGCTCCAAAACCTGCATCGGATATCGGCTATTATCCAGTTTACATGAAGTTCAACTTAAGTAGCACTCGTCCAGTGAGTATGTCGTAAAAGGCGCTCAGTAAACACAAGAATTAAAACAACGGATAAATCGAGACGAACAGAGATAACCACCCGTTTCGTTCTTTACGATTAACCACTACGTAAGTAAAAAAATTATTATTTATTATAATTCAATGTGCGGTATCGATTGCACAACTGCTGTATAATTACTTACTATTTCCTAAAAAAAAATTGAAATTTTATTCTTCTGCCCTTAGAACTAATTCGTCTTCCTTTATTTCAGAAAAAGTCCTGTGAGTTTGTCTTCACGTCAAGTTCATTGCTCAATTTTTAATGGTTCATCAAAAAGGTTAAAATTGGTTGTAGCAAGGGAAGACATTTTTGGTTTCGGTGATAGCACTGAAACAGAAGTTAAAAATGCGCAAATAACTTCAAATCGGTAAAAATTTCTTGGATTGACATTCACTTTTACCTAAAACGTTACCTAGTGCACGTTTATTGCCATCATTATGCGTACTTTCTGACACTAGACGTGATTATACCTGTTGGGCTATAAGAAAATCGATATCACCTTTTTGTGTTCTGGGTTGAATCTCTCGTTTGCAAAGACATCTTATCACACCCCACTGATTTGATCCTGGCTCTGGTTGATGATCAATCTTGAGCGTTTCGTAATCCTGAAGCGGTGTAGGTAAATCATGCCATTTCAGCCAATATTCAAAAAGCAGAGAAAGGTCTGGAAGTCTTAAAAATAGATTTGTCTGTTTTTCTCCTTAAATGTGCATTTTCCATTTATTTATTTATTTATTTAAAACATGATATTCAAAAAAGTCATTAAGCAAAAACTATTATGTCATAAGCCTATCTCGGCAACATGATTAGAAATCAGATAATTGATTTTCAGAGCAATTCACTGACCGTATCACAGTGAGTAAAAGTCACGGTAGC